AAATAAAATCTGTCGGAAATATTTTAAAAAAATGTTTTTTTTAATTCTTTTTCTTCTATTAAAAATATTTTCAAGTAAATAAAAAAAGTGATTTAACATTTTCGACGGATTTCAATTATTATGGTTTTTATTTAAAAATTCAAAATTCATCGAAAATCCGTCGGAAATATTTTAAGGAAAATGTTTTTCTTTATATTTTTTCTTCCAAAAATAATATTTTAAAGTAATCAAAGAAAAGAATTTAAAAAATCTGACGGATTTCTATTTTTTATGGTTTTTACTCAAAAAATTTAAAATTTGTTGGAAATGTTATAAGAAAAATGTCTTTTTTTTTCTTCCCAAAAAAGAATATTTTAAAGTAAATAAAGAAAAGAATTAAAAAAAGGAATCTTAATAGATTTTAACGGGTACCATTGAAGTTTAATGAATCTTAATAGACTTTAATGGACGTCTTGGTTTTATTCGGTTCAACTAAACTTTAATGTTTTTATTGTGTTTTAATGAATCTATTGAGCTTTATTCGGTTCAATTGAGCTTTAACGGTACAATTAGGCTTTAGTTGGTTCAATTTGGCTTTAAAGGGTATTGTTGGCCTTTAATGAATCTATTAGGCTTTAATGGATACTATTGAGCTTTCATGGATCTTAGTGGCCTTAATCGGTGCAATTGGGCTTTAACGGGTTATTAAACAACACATAAATATTGAAAATACAGATAACGATTGAAACCGGTTCAAAATGGGGTTAGAGATTCACAAGATCAGATCTTCCGAGCCCAATTTTCAGTAAATGAAAAAAAAAATCGAGTTAGCCTTTGGTGTGAAAATTAATCGGGCCCTGAAAAAACATGAACTATATTGAGCCTGGGATCTGCCAAGCTTTTTTCAAAAGGGTGATACTCGTTTATGCAATATTATATATACACGATATATATTATAATGTAAAATATTCTATATATATCACTTTATATATTATATATACACTATTTATTATATTACATATAATATTATATACAGAGAGAGGAAGGTTTAAGGGAAAATCTCAAAATATTAGGGGGCGTTTGGTTCGTAGAATGGAATTCGATGGAATTAGAATTCATCAAATGAATTTGACTTTGAAGAAATGGAATGGAATGAAATCTGATGGAATTTGACCATGCCTTGTGATTGTGTTTGGTTGCATGGAATTGGATTAGGAAAGGAATCTGTAGGAAATGAATTGAAATCCTAGCATATTGTCATGGAATTGTAAAATATGTGCGTGAAAGAATCGACTGGAATTAAAAAAATTCCATAGTCTTATTCTATGAACTAAACACTCTATTTGGAATTTGGTCAAAGGATCAGACATTCCTATTCCTTTCGATTCCAATGATCCAAACAGCCCCTTCATAGTTATTGATTCAAAGAAACCCATGGTCATAATAGGAATCAGAGTGTTGTAAATAAATGAATGTTAAGGGCATATTATATATAGCTACTGTGTGTTTGCTTGCTAATGTCATTGACACGTGGATTGTTTTGCTCAACCATGAAGAATTACACAAGTCTCTCGAGTCTCCGTCACGCTTCTTTTTCCATTTTTTTATTTTGGTTTGTATCGATATATTTTGGTTTTTCCACCACGCTTTATGTTTGATGTATGATTTTTGCACTAAACATAATGTTTTATCTCATATTCAGACCAATGATATGACAGGTGGTGAAATGAGTGATAAAGAGAGACATGGCAAATTTTATGTCAATGTAACAGCAGCTATGGGTAGACATTCTGAATCGTCAACTTCAGGTATCCTACATTTTTCATTGCCTTTTTAGTAATGTATTGATTATCATTGTTAACAGGTTTTATTTCCCATTGTGGAAGTTGAACACTTTTACTTGTGTTTTAACTTGAAGAGAGCGGCGTTTGTTGTATTAGACAACATGTCTGTCGACCTTTCATTTGAAACCAAGTATGGCGTTACTCCTTCAGTATTGCTGAGTACCTACCTGTTTATAATTACCCACTTTTTTTGTAGTAGATAGCTCATGGTATGATCTAGTAATATAAAGTTACCCACCAATTTGTAGCATACGAGTTCGCAGATGCTTCAAGAACAACTAGACAATGCATACCGAACCATGATGCTAGAAGTGTGTACTCAACTGTATACGTCAATAACTTTTTGAACATGTATCTTTCAATGATGTTGAGTACCTACATGTTTATAAGTTCCGAATTTTATGTATTGAATTGCTCATCGTATGGTCTTTGAATATTTAAGTTTAGCCGTCAATGTCTATCATGCCAGTACATGCATTTGTGCATATGCATTGATGCATTAAGAACAATTATACATATCACAACCATCAATGTCTATCATACCAGTACATGCATTTCTACATGTGTTTATTCAACTCTACATATACACCTATGCATACGTCAGTATTTTTATTTTTATTTTAATATTTATCACTCCATGTTTCTTTGCACAAAATGTTCATACTAAACCTTTAATACAATTTTTTTTGTAGAAAACTCTGTTTGTGGAATATTTAAGTCGCGTAGGGTACAGGAAGGTTGCTGCAATCAATAGGACTAACTTGGTTAGGCAAAAATGAAGTGGCGTACTGATCAGAATTCCATATATCGTGGCATATTTGTAATGTGGCACATGGAAACATATATGGGTCATTCTGTTGGTCGATGGGACTGTGGTCTTGATAAAAAGTCAGCCAACCAACATGTGCAGTTGACGCGTTTGAGGTATAAATTTGCAGCAAAGATCTTGTTATCTGAAATGAATATCCACATAGATAAGATAACCTCATTGGTTGATACATTTGATGGCATTGACCATGAAGTCCAAAAGGCTATATAATGACAAGCTCTTTGGATACATGTAAAGAGAGGGAAAAGCTTTTCTTATGAAAGTGTTCGGTTAGGTTCAATATTTTTTTTTTGGTTGTTGGTACTTATACAGACCTTCATGAATGAAATTTTGCAATACGACCTTCATGATGAAATTTTTTTCCTGTAAATTCACTTGTGCATGTGCACAATAACTTTATTAATTCACAATTGCATTTGAATCATTCACAAGTGCATGTGTAGTAAATTTTTAAAAAAACTAAATATCCAAACAATAACACGTACCTTGTATGTCACCTCCCTTGGAATGTTGATTTTAATTGTCTCATCTTCATCCTCGTTCATTACAATAGAGATTCGTGATTGAACATGACCTGATGGAATCTTGTATTTGCTTTTGAACCAAGATGAACATGTCACATGTGTACACTATACTTGCATTTCACTCGATGGCTAACAAGGTCTTCAAGGTATATGTCGTTGTTGTTGTCTTATGGTCAAGTATGGACTGATCGTGTCTTTGTTTATCCATTACAACATCAAACGAATCACCATTGTAAGAAGAAATAATTCTCACTTTCTAAGTGTGATATATATTGTGTTGTATCGTATGCCCATAAACCAACCACCATTTCAGATTCATCACATCTGTATTCGAATAAGAAATTCGATACATGTTCTTTCTGGTTGTTCATTTTTTAAATCCACATATTTGAATCTCCCCACTCAATGTACCTGTTATAATCTCTTTGATGATTCTTAAAGTCCACCTTAGTTCCGCTCACAGCTTTTTATCTACCTTTTATGCTTCACAATAAGGTATGCACCTTCGATGCACCATATTTTGTGTTGCACATATTTTGATCACTTCTCTGTCACAAAATTGCAATTGTTTTCTCCTGCACGTGTCACATATTTTGATCACTTTTGTGTTACACCAAAAGTTTGTTCCTTTTGGAGTATTGATTTCAATTGCCTGAGCTGCATTGTTAATGCGTTCATCCTAATGTTCAATCTCAAAATTCTCCTATCATATTAAATTTAACACACATGATATGTTAAAATGAGGGAAATGCACATATACATGTCATGTTCACATATCATGTACTATAACGAATTAACAACAAATGTTGCTACCTGTGCATTTGTCAATTCAAACAATTTCTATCCCTAAATGTTGGTATGCAATTTCATACGACATCTTTTAAATTGGTTTGGATTTTGACTGGTCTTTAAATTTTAGGAAGCTATATTATTGCTTAATTAGTTATGAGCATCAATTGACCATAACACCCTTTTGATTAAAATAAATCAGTTTTATTAGAATTAAGTATTAACCATTGGATGAGTGAGAATCAATGTCAATGAAGTTGTTTCTTGATTTTTTATTTTTTTTGAGGTTTTCCTCTGAATCTGACCCTATATATATAGGCCTAATCAAACAAGAACTCCGTAATTTATGATAACCGTGTGGTCCAATGGAGGTGGTGGTGGCCGACAATACTAGTGGTGATAGCGATGGACAATGGTGGTCGGTGGCTCGACAATGATTGTGGAGGAAATTGGATCTTAAGTTTTCAACAAATAAAGCAATAAATTCAAAGAATTTCAAAGTCAAAGGATCAAGCCCTATCACATATTGGTACTTATTTGATTTGTTCCTTGCTTCTTTTTCCATTTTCTTTGACACGGTTATGATAAAGCCTATTGCAAGACCTAGTTAGGACCAAAATATGTTGAAAAAAACCCGAAAATCGTATTTCTCATAACTACTTTTTAATGTTCCTAGTATTTATTTGGTGCATCTGCTATGAAAAACTCATAGATCCGTCTCTAGGGATAGGGGTGGGGTCCATTACTAAGAAATTTAACATAGTGTTAAAATGTAAAATGACTAAACTATCCCTTATTTAACTGGGGTTAACAGAAAAAAATTAAGCGTTACATGGAGGAACTAAAAGCAATAGATTTTGCAAATGGAGCGGGACAAACATGTAACAAATGAAGTTCAAGGACGACTTTTGGTAAAAGATAAAGTTTAGGGACCAAAACCATAAAATTCCGTCAATAATGAAAGTAGACCAGATGAAGGAACCAAAAATACTTGTTCAAACCCTTTTAAGCGCTCTTTCCCTTCGGTCCACCTTCGGTCAACCCAAGAAAAGCATTTATAGAGAGAGAAAGAGAGAGCGCTTCAATGGTGCCCTAGGTTCTTTGATACCAATCATTCCTTGCCATGGCTGGGTAAGCATTCCCCCTTTTCTCTCTGATGAATATTCACTTAAGGCGGATGATGAAACAGGAGGCGATTAACTTCGATTTGAGTTTCTTGATTACCTTCAATTTATGTCTTTTTGAATTAAGATGAGATTTTTCATGGTTTTCACGAAAAGCCAGTTTAGAAAGTAGATTATTTCTGTTGATTTTTCGTAGTGTGGTTGTGGGTTGCTTGAAAAACCAAAGAATCTGATGAAATTTTGGGATTTTTGTCTTTGGTTTTATGATCGGTGAGAGACTGAAACTTTTAACTTATAGTTTTAGTGTATATGTGATGGGGCAAGTAAAAGGTGAGATCTTCTTTGGGTCAAAGGGGGATCTAAGATCCTCCATTGTTACTGTTCAGTATAATGATGATGCTTACCTACAGATCCTTCGCCTGAATCTACCAACTCCACCCAGCTGACTGAGGGTGGGGGTTCAAGCCTCATTAGATGCCACTGGTTCAGTGTGTGTGTGTGTGTGTGTGTGTGTCAGCCGATTAGAGTAAAATAATGATAGCGCTTGCAAGTCATGGTTATGATTTAGGAATGCTGTATCTTGCTTGTAGGAGAAGGTGGGAAGAAGCTGTGTTGGTTTGAGGTTAAGGATCAAAATGGTTAATTAAGGTTTTGATGTTTTCTCTGCTATGTGTTTTAGAATGGTTCATGTTGTTATTTCCATTAGGGGGGTTCTTTGATCATGGTTTCACATGGGTCACTTATAGAAGTGCTATTCATTTGGTAATTGATGTTTGTTTTTTCAAATCGGCATTCGACCCCATGTTTCATCAACTAGGTATGGACTGAATACCATTCAAGCTAGTACGATTGAATTCGTTTGTTAATGATAATTTTTCTGATTTGGATGTTTGATTTGCTGTCGGTTGGGAGTTCCACAGAGCGGTTTCTTTTAAACCTCTATGATAGATAGTAGTTGGAACATCCATTGAAGAATGCAACATTTGATTTCTTGGAATTTCAAGTCAATGTACATGGTTTCCCCTTGTCATCATTAGAAATACTGAGGCCATTGACTTTTATTTACAAGATTCCCTCATTACATATATTTATTATTGACTTTTATTTATAAGATTCCATTGTCTGGCCAGAGATGAAGGATATTTTAGACATTTAAGGAATAGCTAAATGCGCCCGTTGAACTACGCATAAAGCTAAAAATTGCAATTTTCATGGAACAAAGACGGTAGTGACTACTGACAACATGTATGGAATCTTTGTTCAGATGTCAATATGGTCCAAATGCTTTTAGAAGAGGGATGTGAAAGTATGGTGGCTTAATTCATGGATACAAATTATCTTACTTTAATGTTATGAAGAACATTGGCTGATTGTCTGTTATTAACTTTTCTTCTCTTTAAGTTGTAATCTCTTTTATGTTTATATATGCACCCTATGCAGATGTTATTACATCAAGAAATACACAACAGTACAGTCATAATACGGTAACGACTTTGTGCGTATCAACTAATTTTAAAGGCCCATGAAGATAACATCCAAGAAAATCCTCAGTGGCCCTAAGGAAGCTCGAACTGGTGACCTATGGGCATGAGCCCCAAGGCCTAGCATTTATTGCCTGTTGAGCTGACTTTGTGCACGTAGGGATGCCTTAGCAAACAACACCAAGAAAGTGATGTTTTTAACTAATCGAACAATGTGGAATGTTTTAGATGAAAATGAACATGGAAAATGAAAACATAAGTTGTCTAAAACTCTAAATGTTTTTTTTAACTTTCCTTTTCGGGTTAGAAGGCTTTGACGTGACGTTGCGATTCTTATTCATTTTGGTACCACAGCTTACATTTTGAACAGTCTTATCGTCTAACCAAATCTTCGCATTGAACAATGCAGACCGTCATGGTTGGTCGACAGCAACAGAATTGCAACAAAGATTAGAAGCGCCTCTGGTACTTGTGATCCTCAAAATATCAACTGGAAAAGCAACCCCACTAAATCATGCCCAAATTGCCACCATATTGTTGACAACAGTGATGTAATCTTCTCTATTTTATAATCTCATATGATAATGATTTACTTTATTTTACTAATTTTAGGAAATTATTGCCTCTTGATAAGTGCATACAAGTTTCGTTTTTTGTACTAGAAAAAACTTTCAGAATCCTTTCTTGATCGGAAGATCTAAAACCTTGCTGTTACTAGGTTAATCAAGCATGGCCAGGATTGCCTCAAGGGGTAAAATTTGACCCGTTGGATCAGGAAATTATTTGGCATTTACTTGCTAAAAGTGGTGTAAGCGGTTTCCCACCTCATCCTTTTATCGATGAGTTTATTCCAACGGTTTATGAAGATGACGGCATCTGTTACACTCATCCTCAGAAGTTGCCAGGTACCTGCTCATTTACAGCTTTCTACCTCCTCTAATATGATAATTTGAATTTTGTGTTATTTTACTCGCTCCGTTTTCCAAAGATATATGCATAAGTGTCGCATTTAAAAATATGCATCTAAAGACTAAGGGGGTGTTTGGTTCAGTGAGAGGGATGAAAATGGGAATGAAAATGAAAATTACAGGGAATGAAAATGGGAATGAATTTCCATTCCCCCCGGTTTGACCTGTAATCAGAATTTGGACTTATGGGGAAATGAGCCCATTATATTATATAAAACCAAACAGTTTCTTTTATTTTCATTCCCATTGATTACTGCCTAATACCTCTAACCAAACACCCCCTAACTATATCAATGACGATTGACGTGTAATGGGGTGATGAACAAATATGTAACTCTAGCTTGTAAGGCTAAGTTTGGCACACTAGCCAATAAGCTAGCTGTTGACTAATAGCTGTTAGATGAAAAGCTAGTTGTTGGCTAATAAGCTAGCTGGAAAACTAGTCACGCTTGGTAAAAACTAGGTGACAAGTAAATGACGATGTGAAATGACCTAAAAGTATAATATAAAGGGCGTTCCTGAAAAATATAGGGGGTAAAATTTGGAAAAAAAAGTGAAAATATCCCAATAAGCTATCTAAAGTAGCTTTTGAAAAAGCCATCCAAACATGAGTTTTTCAATAAGCTCAAAGAATAAGGTAGCTGATGCTTGCCAAACATGGCCTAAATCTGAAAATGAAAGAAAATATTGCAGTGGGTCAGATGGGAAAATATTGTAACATGATCTGGTTTTGTTTTTAGGAGTCCAACAGGATGGAAGTGTATCTCACTTCTTCCATAGAGCAATTAAAGCGTATAATACTGGAACTAGGAAGCGTCGTAAGATACATGGTGATGATTTTGGAGATTTCCGTTGGCACAAAACGGGCAGAACAAAACCAGTTGTTTTGGATGGGATTCAACGTGGGTGTAAGAAAATTATGGTGCTTTATGTTAGCCCCGTGAAGGGTGGGAAAGCGGAGAAAACAAATTGGGTAATGCACCAATATCACTTGGGTACAGGGGAAGATGAGAAGGAAGGAGAGTATGTGATCTCAAAAGTCTTCTATCAACAACAATCACAGTCAAAAACACCTAATGAAAAAGATGAAGAGATCATACTTGAAGAAATAATCAATGCTCCAATCGTAAAAGTTGATCCTGTGACCCCCAAGTCCGTGACTCCTGAACCCCCTCGTGCTGAAAGGCGGGTCCCAGATATGGGTCTTGGACAAGGACCCACTGAGATTTACGCAGATCCTGCTCAGGTAATCATCTTTCTCTCCTAATGAATGGATATATTATGTAAAGATTGGGCAAAATGCAACAAATTATGGTTTAGTTTTTATTTAGTGTAATATCTTTTCTTTCAAAATTTCCTTTTTTAATGCCCATTTTGGCAGGTAATCTGTTGATTAAGTAACATTTGGTGATGTGTATACCCGTTTATGAAATGTTAACGAAAATGTTACGGCAAAGTGCACGGGATAACAATAGAAAATTTTGAAACTTTGTTACATGAAATAGGAACATCGGGAACTTGGCTACTTCGATTGAGAAAGAAAATTCTTTATTACACTAAATAGGAACTCTTTACATATTTCACTGCATTTTGCCATTAGAGATTCTTGTATAATTGTAATCTTTTTTGTAGCATGAGATGGAGCTTATTGATGAGGCCGAACGTGAAACTTGTTGCAAGAAGGTTGGTGATCACGAAGATCATGTTACAGAAGAAAATGGTGTTTCTGATGAATTAGGGACTAACGATAATGGTGAGGCTGGAGAAGAACCGAAATGGTGGGATAGTGAATCTCAGTATTTACTAGATTCACAGCAACTCGTCGAAGGACTTTCTTTGTGTGACGAGTTTCTTCAGAGCCAATCTCCTCAAAGAGACGTTGAGAACCGGGAATCGAACAGAAAACCGAGTCTTGCGGACTACGCTCAACTAGGACCAGAAAATCTAAAGAAGGATTTGGAAGAGTGTCAAGGCTTGGCCTTTGATCCAGCAAATCTGGAACTTGATACCCCACCTGATTTCAGGCTGAGCCAACTTGTAAGTTTCTTCAATTCGCTACATGCATGTCGTTCTTTCAACAAGTTCCGGACTTTTTTTTCCTGTTCTTTTTTTTTTTTTACAATTATGTCTCTTATATGTTAGAATTGAGCTGGGCTGTTTTGACAATGTAATCTAGCTTATCAACAGGTTTTTACCAAACGTGGCTAGTTTATCAACTAAACAATTAGCTTTTCATCGAGCAGCTAGCTTATCAACAAACAACTCAGCTAGCCTATCAGCCACCAATTAGTTTAAGCTAATTTCTAGCTTATTAGCAAACTGTTGAAGCTAACAACCAGCTTATCAGCAAACTGTTTGTTAGCCAGCCACCAGCTAGCTTATTAGCAAAGTGACTTTGTTGGTAGACAAGGAACTTTTCAACCAACAGCTACTATTATCTAGTTCGCCAAACATAGCCTTAAACGTGCTTATCTATGGGGATTACCACCTCAATCTCATTCTTGTGATTGTGTTCTCACACGAAAATTGTTTTCATGGCTAATTAAGTCAACAAAATTAGAACCATGACATATTACGTGGTCAGTGGTTAGCCAAGTACTCCATCTGTGAGATTTAAGTAAACAATGGCGAAAATCATCATTCTCTCCGACATTTTTGTCCTTATCACTGCAATCATTTCTTTATATACGTACACGTACAATTATATATGCTGAATCCCTGAGACGAGACGTTATAAATTGGTAATATACTTGGGTTTCTGATGTGTGTTGCAGGAATTTGGATCACAGGAAAGCTTTCTTGCATGGGGAGGCTGCAAGTGATGGTTTTGTTGTTCAACAATCTTCATCTCACCCAAAATGCCAACTTTCTAAGTTGTACATCTTTTGTGAAAGTATTTGTATGTTAAACTTCTGAAACTAAATTGAGATGATGGCACTTGATCTTTTGGGAGTAATTATCTATGTGGTTTGTGTTGGCACTTGGAACCATGCTTTATTTGTATAAATTTTGGTTTTTAGAAACATTAAATCATGTTTCTTGTAATATATTGGACCATTGTGTTTTATACTCCGTATTGTCTTCCAAAATATGTGTTTATATTTATATTTTAACCTATTTTAGTGGCCACGAAGGTTCAAATGCGGTGACTCCGGGCTATCTGCAAAGCTGGTGGTCGTCCTGAGATTAGTCGGCTCGTATAGCATGTTGGATATCCAGGTTAATAAAAACAAAGTTTTATAAAGTCATACATATACAGCAAAACTTGAATTTTAAGAGATCATGCACTAATTGACATATTATATAATGCTTAATAAATTGTTTTTATTACCAAAAATACCCTTACCCTTAAGGTCAAGGGTGTCTTTTTGTAGATAAAGACGGTAGAGCCCTTGGGTATATGATGCCAAACTCTATGCCAAGTGTTATTTTGGCTACCTAGCTTGAACATGACAAATGTGGTGTTACTTATCAAAGGACAAAGCCTACTTTATTTTGCTTTTTCTTCTTGATGCATACTATTGAAAAAGACATATTTGACCTCGACTCTTCAATGTCCTGCTGTGGGCCTGATTTAGTCAAACGCGTGTGCAGTAAGTCACTAATATGTGTCTTTTGGGGTGTTTAAAAACCCGACCAATTCAAACAACCCAATTTAATCCAACGTGAAGTAACGTAATCCGAAATAATTGTGTGTCTAATCAAGTTGTAAAATTTCAAATCCGTAGTTATTGAGTTGATGTTTATTTACTTTTATTTGAATCCAACTCAACCCAATAAACCCGATACATTTTTATTTCTTGGATTTAATACGATTGTTGAGTCTCTATTAATATATACATGAGACAATTACATCATCACGTACTCTTTTCATATACATATATTTTCCGTCTATTCTCCATCTCTATATAACTTCTTTGAATATTTGTTCAATAACTATGAACACACACACACACACACACACACATATATATATATATATATATATATATATATATATATATGCAAATTGAGAAAGTTAATTGAATGTGATATACTTAATATTTAAAAAGTATGGATAAGTGTACCAAATGATTAATGATGAAAAAGATATTCTGAGTAGACTAGAGAAAACAACATATTTAAGGTTAGTAGAATATTTTGATCGATGTACCAAAGTATCAACTCGACCAACCCGTGTGGTTTGGGTTGGGTTGGGTTGGGTTGGGATTTTTCAAACGACAAATACTAGGTTGAGTTGTTCAAATGCCTTCAACCCGATCAACCCAATCCATGAGTACCCTTATGTGTCTTTATGCATGCATATGCACACCTCTATTTCCTTTAGACGCTATTATATTACTCATTAGGTTAAGGGTCGATAAATATTAGATCTTAAAAGTACTATGGGATCTTAGAAGTTAAAACAATACAAGAAGACTTAGGGGCCGTTTACCAAACACTTACCTGGTAAGTGTTTACCGGTAAAATTTAACATTATCATTTACTTATCGTGTAAGATTTTAGTCCACCAAACGGTATCTTATGTAACAATTTACCTGGTAAGCGCTTACCGTGGTAAGAGTCGTCGCTCTCACTTACCGGGTAAGTCTCTTGATTTTTGTCTCGCTCTTACTGGGTAAGATTCTTGATCCTTACTATATTCATCTGGTAAGGTAATGTGACTTGGTGTTTACTTACCCCAGTAAGCATTTGGTAAACGGCCCCTTAGATTGACTCACTACTTGAGGGAAACATCTCGGTTGTATGCAAAAGAAAGAACTGATACTCGTGGACGTAAATGATAGTGAGTCAAACATCTCGGTTGTATGCAACAGAAAGTACTGATACTTGTTAAAGGGTGTACATCGACAATCTACAATCATCGAACTTCTAAAACGATGCCTTTGAGTAATGAAGTTTTGGAGTCTAAGAGAGAAAATCAAACTTTAGGAGTGAAATTTACATTGTGTTGGTCTCAACCATTTGATTTGATAATAACGCGGATGCATACATATCGACACATAGAAATATTTTTGAATTTTGCCTTAAAATTCGATTAATTGTTACCGGATGCAATATGAATCTGGAATGCTCTAGGATCCGAAAATACATAATCCGATATGCTTGTCAGATTTAACATTTGAGGGATCTGAGAATAGATTCAAAATCTGAAAGGGATATGGATCCAGATCTTAGCATGGATCAGAAAAAGTAAGTTGAAAATTATTATTTTATTAGTATCATACTTTCTTTATTTTTCTTTCTACATACAGAACGATAAGTTGTGTTAACAAACGTCTACATCATATCTTTTAGATATTCAATAATTCAAAGGCTGAAATGAAGAGTACAAACATGCATTGATCAACAAATCAAATAAAGACACGCGTTAAAATTAGATATCAACATTTAGTTCATTGGTGGCTATAAAATGCGACATTTGACAATGTTGCAACTCATCCGTTTTGATTGGAATTTCTCAGTGATAGTTTCTTAGAAAAAATCTCCATTACAAGTTTTGTTAACCATTAAGTGAACAAAATCATCAAAAAAAAGTTAAAAAAAATGAAACAATTTCATCAATAATTGTTGCTAAGCAAACAAAATTATCCAAAAATATTATATTACGCAACCAGTTCATCCCCAAAAGTTTCATAAAACAAGCTCCTCAATGAACGTTTTCACGAAACAATCTGCATACGTTTCATTATATTATTTTTCATTTTTTCATTAAATTAGTGCCCTTTTTTGTAATACAACATATTATGTATCCTATTAAATTATGCAACGATTTAATGATTTTCTTTTTGCTATCTAAACATGAATCTGTTTCACTAATATTTATATTTTTACCTGTTCATGAATCTCTGTTAGGATCTGTTACTGATTTTGTGAATCAATGAATATAAGTTTTTGATCTTCATATTCTTATTACGTATAAACCTATAAAACAAATAAACATATTTAATTTTTAAAATACTAAATTAATTAAACATTTAAATATTACTATTTCTAACATTTCATTTGTTACGTTTTCTTAATTAAGATCTCTTAATAACTTCCATATTTAATAAAAAACAATGTAAATGACAATTCAACCCTTAATGATTAAATTTAATTAAAAAAAAAAAATTCTATTGGTCGAAATCGGTTTACATGGTTTCTAAGAATTAGGCGGTTTTCAACGGATCCCGCCTCTCTCTCTCTCTCTATATATATATATATATGTATATATATGTATATATATATATATGTATATATATGTATATATATGTATATATCTATGTATATATATATATATATATATAGAGGTTGGTTATTATACAACCATTGACATTTGTACAACCAATATAACACAATCTCAACCGTCCATTTCATTTGATTAATATGTGATTTCATAGAAGTTTTGATTGTTTTCTTAGAAGTTTTGATTGTTTTCTAATATAAAGTATTGATCATAATTAATGAACCATATTCATCTTCCATAAATATTCAAATCATAATAAATAAACTCTCATCATTTCCATAAATATCTCAATTTATTGGGTTGCATTGGTTGTACAAATGCGATTTGTTGTATTTAAAACAAACTCTCTCTCTCTCTCTCTCTCTCTCTATATATATATATATATATGGGTCTATTCAAGGAAGAACTGATTAGCTTATGGCAACCGTGAGATCCTATGTGAACAACTCGTTAGAGATATTTAACAATATTTCTTAAATAAACTAAAAGAATAATAGAGTAATTCTAATTTTTGACAACTAATCAAAATATTTAATTAAATTTTTTAGAAGACAATATTTAATTAAATTTAGTTAACTAGTAAATCAATTACCTAATATACAACGTATTTTAAAGACGTTTGTGAATCAAAATATATCATAGTGATAACGTTCATAATGTTTCACGTGTATCACGATGTATTTTTTTTGTTTTATGAAATGTATCATAGTGTGCATTTTCATTATTTTCATTGTTTTAGAAAGAGTATCACATTGTGCATCTTGCATGTATATTTGGGGTATCACAGTGAATATCGTTTGTAGGTATCACAATGTGTATATTGTATTCACATAAAGTTTATCGGAATAAGGTTCGCTGAATAAAATTCGCCGAAGAGAGGAAAAATGAGAGATGAGAGAGAATATTTATAAAATCCCTAAAATGTCTTTAATTAATATTTTAAGTTAAAATTACTAAAATTATTAATTTCCTAATTTAACCTTTGAGTTGTGGTTGAAATTGAATCTCACGTTTATCACAAACAAAATAATTCTCATTTGATTGGACTTTTCACAAAGTTAACACCATATATTGAGTTAACAAATGAACTAACCCTATATATAGGGGTGAGTTCATTTGTTAATCCAATATATCGTGTTAATTTTGTGAACCAATCTAACCTTTAATCTTTGTAATCTATGGACAAAATTCATCATGGAATTTTTGTAACAAATTAAAACAATGATGCTTAATAAACATAAGTGAACAATCATGAAGAAATGGTAATTTTGGAGAAAGTAGGGAGGTTTCTTTTAACATTAATTACTTTTTCGGTAATTACTCAATCGTTTTGAAATCGACATCAAACTTTAATTATTTCTTCATTTATTAATATGTAATGTGTAACTTATGAATGATGTGAATTAATGAACAATTGTTATATATGAATAGCATATGAAGATTGTTCACCAATGAAAATATAACATATATGAAAATGTTCATTAATGAACATATACCTGAATGTGTATGTATGTGTGACTGGTGAACAATGTTCATCAATGAACAACGAACTATATAACTCAATCATAATATGTTAAGCACACATACAAATTTCATTTGTGAAGGACCATCATAATATGTTAAACACTAATACAAATTTGAAAAGAGCCAAATTTTAGGAACAATGTAACTCTCATATTTTGTAAACATATTCTTATTAATTGACCCTCACTTATTAAATATTTAATAAACTATTAACCATGAACCAATATGGATTCCTATTGGACTATTTTGGTTAGTATAGTTAACACAAAAAGTAAAGTTAACAAAAGATGACACCTATATATATATATATATATATATGTGTGTGTGTGTGTGTATGTGTGTGTGTGTGTGTGTATGACGTTTCAAATGCAACCTATCACATTTGTACAACCAATGCAACGCAGTCAATTGAGATATTTATGGAAATGATGAGAGTTCATTTATTATGATTTGAATATTTATGGAAGATGGCTAGAGTTTATTAACTATGATCAATACTTTATATTATGAAACAATCAAAACTTTTATGAAATCACATATTCATCAAATTAAATGTACGGTTGATATTGAGTTGTATTGGTTGTACAAATGTAAAGAGTTGCATTATAACTCACATATACATATATAGAGCTTGGTTCAAATATTAACCAAGATTTTTGTGTTGACTTTGTTAACCAAGCTCAACCAATCATATTCCATCATTTCTTTAGGTTCAAATATAACTCATATACTAATGACAAGGGTAATTAAATAATTTGTCATTTATGTAACTCCCAAATCATTAATTAGGAGTTACAAATCTAAAAATCTCAATAATTGATGATTATGTAATATTGATATTTTTT